CGGAAGGGTTGTAGGTGGAATCACCTGTAACCCGATTTGTTATTAATGATAATAGGAGTTATTACAAGTACAAGCCGTGTAGGTTAATTCAAACATGCCATACAAATGAGGCTTTTAAGGGTATTTATAATAATCCTAAGCACGTCAAGCACGTCTCTGATTATCCAACCGGTCAGGCGGCTGACCGGCCCACCAGGTGCACTTTGAAAGTAAATCTTCGGGTATTGGCATCTGGTCTCCTCATCCAACCGGTCAAATAACCCGGGCTGAAAAAGACGCGTGCTGTTCGGTGAACCAACCGGGTGGTATCCTTGGGTTATTACCCATCAGACCGAGTAAAAAGTGAGTGGGAAGAACATTTTAGGACGGAGGGAGTAATATATACGGAGTAATATTAGTACTCCCTTCGTCCCAAAAAATGTTACGTTTCATTTTTTGTGCATCCTTTAAAACATTTTTATATCGTCTCAAATGCCAAAAAAACTTTCAAAACAATTTCATCTTATAATAAAGAGTAAATATGGTAAATTTTAGAATTTTTAGATGTGAATAGCTGTGCTTTTTGTGATGCGAAAAAAAATGAAATGTAACATTCTTTTTGGGACAGAGGGAATATTTGATAATTAAGGATTGCAATTAAGATGGAGTAGCTAGAATGATATGGTAGTATTGGGTCAACTTTGGGGAATTGGAGGTCTAATAATGTGTGGTGATACTATCGAGACACGACAAACCCAAATTAATTTGGCCTTTGGACCTATTTTTCTTTACGCAGTATCTAAAAATTAATTCAGAATTTAAAATAAAATAATCTAATAGATTTAATGCATATTTTTTGATATTTTAAATTTATTTAATACAAAACGTAAGTGTTAAACTGAATTTAAAAATTTTAAAAACCAAAACCATAACCCGTTGGGTCGACCCGAACCCAGTGACACTGGGTCATAAATATACATTTTTGTATCCGAACCCGAAATAACTCGAACTTGAAGTGATCGAACATGAACCCGACCTGACCGATCGATTTACCAGCTCTACTTTCTTCTAGTAGCAATCATTAATGCATATGACTTGACAACTTGCAAAAGATTTGTTTTGAAAAAAATGATGCTGGAAAAGATTGTGAGTTCTTACATCCTTCTTAGTAATTTGTTCAGTTTTGACTTTTTCCGGCCAATTCTCTTTAACCTTTAACTTATAATTAAATATTGTATGTTAATTAGATAAATAATATTTTGAAAACATGGGTATAATAAATCTAATAAAACTATTTTTATATTATTATCTAAGATTATTTTTATTTAATTTGAGGTCAAAGTTTATCAATTTTGAGCAAAAAAAGTAAAAAATGGACAAATACTCAAAATCGAAGAAGGTTTCAAAAAATATCCATAAAAATAAAGAATATATTTTTTTAGACGTCTTGAAAAAGAAATAAAATGTTTTTTTTTTAAAAAAGAAAGAGAAATAAAGAGTTGTTTTGAGACTTTGGAGGAAAATACTACTGTTCTTTCACCCCCTACTCTGCATAGTCTGCAATATCTTATCCCGAGGAAAACGGGAAAGGGGATCTGAAAACGAAGATAGCCGACCCAAATTTCCGTGATTTGTTGGTTTGCGTACAGATTTTTCACGATATAAATAATTAAATAAACGGTGAGCTTACACAAAATCCAGAGAAATTGGGCCCAGCAGTGAGTAATGGAGAGCGAATCCAGAGAGATCGGCGAGCACGACGAGAGCTCCAGACTGGCGATAATGGAGCTGGCCAACATGATCAGCGTCCCCATGTCCTTAAACGCCGTCGTTCGCCTCAACGTCGCCGACGCCATCTGGCAAGGCGGATCCAACTCCCCCATCTCCGCCGCCCACATACTCTCCGCCGTCCTCCCTTCCGGCGGCGGCGACGCCGAGAATCTACAGCGCATCCTCCGCCTGCTCACCAGCTACGGCGTCTTCCACGAGCATCTCGGCCCTGATAATGACGCCTCGTCAAGAAGGTACGAGGCCCTTGATAGCAATTCTAGTTATTTTTTACACTCTACCTATTATATCATACTTTTTTCATCTACACATCACATCTTACTTTTACCAATCACATCAAGGGTATTTTTAGAAAATCAACACAAAATTATTCCTACCTTAATTTCAGCTTTAGTCAAAACGCGTAAATTTTTTTGGGACTGAGGTAGTATTCACTAAGGGCGCGTTTGACAATAGCTTTAGCGATTAGTGTTTTGAAAAGACTATCTACGATTAGGGTTTAGCGTTAGTGTCTTCAAAATGACTTTATTTATAAATAAGTACGAGAGTATAGAATAAATGCACCGTTCATACTCGTAAGCTACGAATAGTTCAAACTTGAGGCAGGTATTCGCTGACGGCGGTGGGCAAAACGCTGGTGACGGACAAAGACGGCTTATCATACGGCGCCTACGTGCTGCAGCACCACCAGGAGGAGCTCATGAGAGCGTGGCCTCTGGTCCACGAGGCGGCGGCCGATTCCACGTCCGATCCGTTTGCCAAAGCCAACGGCGGCGTCACTGCGTACGCCCACTACGGCCGGAACCCGGAGATGAACGCCCTGATGCAGAGGGCCATGTCCGGCGTCTCCGTCCCTTTCATGAAGTCCTTCTTGGAAGGGTACGATGGGTTCCGAGGTGTGATGCGGCTGGTCGACGTCGGCGGGAGCGCCGGAGATTGCCTGAGGATGATCTTAGAGAAGCATCCCAGCATCCAACATGCCGTCAACTTCGATTTGCCGGAGGTTGTTCAGAAGGCCCCCCACATTCCTGGTACTAGTCAATCTACTCTTATTTTATGATAATGTATACAACACTTTTAAATCTACTCTTATTTTATGATAAATTATTTTTTAATAAGAAAAAAAGCTCTAAAAGTTTATAGAGTAAATTTTTTAAATAATCCTTTATAAATGGGGATTTCCATATTAAGTCTACATTTATCAAATATTATGTTGACAATCCTTATTATTTGGGTATCATCCCACGTTTAGTCCTCCGTTTAATTTTCCGTCTCCATGCCGTTAGACAAAGACCAAACGTAGAATGGTAACCAATCATTAAGGAATACAAAAATAATACACAAAGTCAAAATAGGAATACTTTTTCCAAACGGAGGGAGTATTTGATAATATGGATTGAATATGAAAATTCTCCCATTATAAAGGACTATTTGTGAGTTTACTTTTCTAAAACCATTTTTAATATTGAAAGTATTACTTACGTCTTTGAGTATTTTATCCAATTTTGACTTTTTGCAGTATTTTCAACATTTGACCTATAATTAAATAACATATACTCCCTCCGTCCCGTGAAACATGGGACATTTGCTTTTTAGGAGGGATTTAAGGAAGTGTATTTTGGTTTTGAGTTTCCAAAAATGTCCTTTGATGTGATGGGTAAAAGTATGATTTGATGGATAGATTATTAGTAAAAAGATATGACGTGATAGTTAGAGTATGAAAAAGTAAGGGGTAAAAGTGACTTTTTAATAGAAATGAGAAGTGTTTTGTGGGACGGATAAAAAAAGAAAGGGGAAATGTTTCAAGGGACGGAGGGAGTATGTGGTATATTTATTAAATAAAGTAATATTTTAAAAATATTTTATGACATGAATCCAATAAAATTATTTTTGTATCAATATCTAATATTAATTTTATTTAATTCGTGGTCAAAGATTGCCGATTTTGACAAAAAACTCAAAAGTAGACCAATACTCATGGACGAAGGTTGTAATTAATATAAAAATTTTATGATTGTAGTTTGTATATAAAATTTCAAAATTATCATTAAAAATAATTTACCAAAAAATTGATTTTTTAATATGAGAATTATCTTGGAAGATATAGAAATTAATAAGTAATTTGAAATAATCCAAAATAGGAGTAAATATAACATCTATCCTCAAAATAAGAATTTCATGTTTTTTCTCAATATACGAGTTTGCACTGTGACATAATGACATTGTATATATAGTGATATTATATATTGGCATTATTAGCATTATACTCTTATTTTGGAGATAAAAGTTTGAAGGTCTTATGTTATTAAAAAGGGATAGTAATTTCGAATATCTTTTTAATTCTTATCAATTTCGAATAGATTCTCGTATTAAAAAATGATTTTTTTGATAAACTATTTTTTGTGGTGTACAAATTTTGATTTTTTATAAATAAACTATAGTTATACATTTTTCATATCTATTACTCCCTCCGTTTGGAAAAACCCTGCCCAGTTGATTTGGGGGTAAAAATGAGGAAGTGTTAAATTATAATTGATTTCCAATTTTGCCCCTGATATGATGGGTAAAAGTAAAATGTGATGGATAGATTATTAGAGAAAAAGTATGATGTGATAGGTAGGGTATGAAAAAGTAAAGGTAAAAGTGGTTTTTTAATAAAAAAGGGAAGTGTTTTGTTGGAAGTGGAAAAAATGAAAGAGGAAGTGTTTTTTAGAAACGGAGGGAGTAGTTTTTATATTAAAAGTGGTTTAAAAAGAACAAATTTTCCAAATAGTTCTTTATAACGGGGAAGTTTCCATATTTAGTCCATATTATCAAATGTTATTTTCGTGGTCCTTATTGATTGGGTACCATTCCACGTTTAGTTCTTGTCTAATGGCACGGAGATGGAAAAATAGACGGAGGGCTAAACATGGAATGATACCCAATTAATAAGGACTGTCTACTTAATATTTGATAAATGTGGACTAAATATGGAAATCCTCCATTTATAAAGGACTATTTAGAGAATTTACTCAAGTTTATAGTACGTAATTTTTTTAGAAATTTGGGACTATTTTTATTACCCCTTAGTAAGCGTGCCAAGTCAACACGTGAATAACATTTTCGGACGGAGAGAGTATATGGATTTCCATCTCGGTTAAATTTATATAAAATTGATAATTTTACCTTTAATTAAAAAAAATTAAAATACTTCTTTCGCTTTAAAAAAGAGCTCTTGTTTTGACTTTTGATGAAGTGTGGAGTAATGTATTTTGCAGTTGACCTTTCAATTTTGATACTATATGTGGTGGTAAAAAAATAAGATACAATGAAAGTGTTTTTTCAATAGTAAGTAAGCAGGGAATTCTTTTTTGAAATGGAGGAACTAATAGGGAGTACAAACTACGGAGTACAAAATAAGGAATTTAGATGGAAACAAATTTTTGAGGGCAAAGTTGTTCATTATTCAACATAAAATAAGCGGATGTAGCTAAAACGGAAATGGATATAACATCCTTTTTTTTATATTTTACTTTTGAAATATTTGCACTAAATAATACTAAAACTTAAGTTATTTCTCTGAATAGCACTTAAATTGTTTTATTCCATAAATAGCACTAAATAATGTCCAGTAATGACAAATATTTACTTGATTAATGACTAATGCATAATGACTAAAAGTGCTACATTAGGAAAAAACATATGATGTTATTTAGAGAAAGTTATTGTGTTTTAATGCTATTTCAGTAAATTTCCTTTTACTTTTACCATAATGAAATAATGTTGATTTTACTTAAGTTGTTTTTGGTGCACACAAAAACAACAACAAGCAGACATAATTATAAAATCCCACAAAGAAATAAGGTAAGATCTAAAGAGAGGTTGGCATACAAATGAAATCTTTGAAAATGATGTGGATGAATGAAGGCGCCGGGTTTGTACGATGCAGGCGTAGCCCACGTTGGCGGTGACATGTTCAAATCCATACCCAACGGCGACGCCATTTTCATGAAGGTGCGTTCCCTTCTCGATCACCTTCCTTGTAAAGTCTTATACATATATATTGCCTGTGGCAGAAGTTGTTATCAGAAATGGTTTGTGTTCTGTGTTATGTTCCTGCGTCTAACACAAGAAATTTTATGTGAAATTTGCACTAAGTAGGAATAAGACATAATGACTTTCCTAATGTAGGATTTAAATTTTTTTATTACTTAAATAGGACTTAATAATGACCTAATGGGAGGAATAATGTCCAGTAATGGTGGACATTTACTTAAATAATGACTATTTCATAATGACCAAAGGTCCTTCATTGGGAAATAAAAACATATGGTCCTATATTGAAAAAGTCATTATGTTTTAGTCCTATTTAAGTAAATTTCTCTAATTTTATTACATCCAAAAACAGCAGTTTTGAAAAGGTCTCAAATTGCCTGAGATTTAAGTACTTTTGTGGAGAAGGTTTACTCATAGGTTCAAAATTAGTACAACTTTCCTCTTTTGTGTAGAAAAATACTTTATTAGATTACTTTATTAGATATTTTCAAAATATTATTTTATCCAATTAATACGGAGTATACAATATATATTTATTTTTATTAAAAAATTACATCAAAAGTTCTAAAAATCCCATATTCATATCTACCGAAGTCGATAAGGAGTTATCAAAACACTCTCATTTGGGACGGTTGTGATATCGGGAGATATCATATTCGAAAGTCGTCGAAATTAACCTACCTGTTTATATTTCAGCAAACACTTATAAAAGAGTTTAATTTAATATCAAGAGATATCAGAGTCCATATCTCAAGCACTCATCAAATATGCCCTTAGATTTCAATTTTCAGTCTTCAAACTCTAATATCAGACTCCATAAATTTTTTGGAAACACTCAAGCCTAGCTAGTTCACTTATATACTCCCTCCGTCCCTAAATATTCACAACATTTGCTTTTCCAGCAGTCGCAGGAACTTTTGTTTATTTCGACGTTTTCATTGGTTATTTGATAAAATAAAATATTCTTGACACCTCTTATTTCGAAGAACTTTTCATGTAGTTTTTTTATATGTAAATTTTATTTTTTATTTTTATACTAATATGTAAATAAAATGAATTGAAAAAACTTAATATTTTGCTTCGGGAATACAAATGTGGCAAATAATTTGGGACGGAGGGAGTAGCTAATACCCCTTCATTAAATTCCAATATTCCATTGTGTTAGAATATTTATTGTTATTATTGTTACAATTAAGTGCAGTGGGTGCTAACAACATGGAGTGATGAAGAGATAAAGGTGATCATGAACAACTCCTATGCTGCCCTCCCACAAGGAGGGAAGTTGATCGCTTGCGAGCCCGTTTTACCCGAAAAAACCGACGACACCCGAAGGTCCCGCCTCCTGCTCGAAGGGGACATTTTCGTCATGACCATTTACAACGCCAAGGGCAAACACCGCACCGAGGACGAATACCGACACCTCGGCCAATCCGCCGGCTTTCGCTCTCTCCGGGCCCACTATGACAAAGATCTCTTTTTCACCGTCTTAGAATTTCACAAGTAATATAATGTTTCATATTTCTCCCGACTGTGGGATTGTACTATGTTTGTTGTTGTTGTTACTTTTTATGTCCCGTAATTATGTTTCATTTTTATTTTTTTGCGTGTTTCAAAAAAATTGTTCATTACTGGTATAACTTTTCAGATACATTAAAAATTGAATGCATGAATGTAGGCATATAATGTCTACAATTATTTGATTCTTAAAATATTTGATTCTTAAAATATATGTAGAAAGTCAAAAGGGATACTTAATGATTTAAGAACAAAATGATAACAATTAGTTTATGCTGATGATTTTAGAGCTTTTGTTTCCTCCCCAACATCTTGAATTAGTTTTGCCATGTTGAGGTGAGAAGAGCCTCCTTCCTCCACGGCTCGCCTCGCCGCTTCACGGAGTGCTTTCGCGCGTTTTCTCCTCATTTCCCCTTCCCTGCCGCCGCCGAAAGCCTCCTCGACAGCCGCCACGATCTTGTCCCTACTCACCTGGACTCCCGCCATTTCCTCTTCCCCGAACACGATCGGAGACTCCATCCCGACTCTCACCCCGACCTTCAGCACGTTCACCGCCAACTTCTCGTTCAGAAACTGCTCCGCGAATAGCGGCAGAGTGAGCAGTGGGACCCCCGATGCGATCCCTTCGAGCGTCGAGTTCCACCCGCAGTGGGTCATGAACGCCCCCACGGAAGGGTGGGACAAGATGAGCACTTGGGGGGACCAACCATGGATTATGAGGCCTTGCCCTTTCACTCCCTCCTCATATTTTTCTTGCTCAAGAAAGTCTTGGAACTCCTTGGATAAGTGCCTAATTTCAATAAATAAATAAAAATCGGATTAACGAAAAATCTTAAAAATCCGAAAAAATAAACGTCGTCGCATGAATCATAATGAAAGTGATGATAATCATATAATCTTGAAGTATTTTTTTTTTTAAATCAAATTTCTGGTCGTAGTTGCATAATTTTTTTCGGTACCTGATGACCCAAATGAAGGGGCGCTTAGACGCCTTGAGGGCGAGGCCGAGCTCCACCATTTGGGGCGTCGGCAAGCGGGAGAGGCTCCCGAGGCACACGAAGAGGACCGAAGCGGGCCCCATTGAGTTGAGCCAGTTCAAGCACTGGTCCAAATCAATGGAGGCCTTGTTTCCCCTTTCACCCTTGTCAGGTCCCACCTTGTTGCACAAAGAAACAGGCCCAATGGTCCAAACATATTTCCCTTTAGCTTTCTTAAATTCTTTTATGTACTCTGGCTCAAGTTCCTCAAAGCTGTTCACTAAAATCCCATAAGCATTTTCCTCTGCTTCTATGATCTCACCACACAACTCACTCCACTCTTTTGACCTTGGGTTCACCATGTGTGTGACCTGAGCTTTCGTCATTTCGATCTTGTCGGGTACCCCGGGGACTTCAAAGTACTCCGAGTCGGACTCGACCTTCTCGAGCTCGGGCCAGCGGACTAGGTTGTGTTCGCAGAGGAGAGAGAAGCAGCACATCCCGTGGAAAACGATCCGCGGGATGTGGAGCTCCCGGGCGAGATCGGTCGCCCAGGGGAAGCACATGTCGGCGATGATGCAGCTGGGGGAGGGCTTCAGGCCCTCCCGCAGCAGCCGCTCGACCTGGGGACGGAGCATCTTCGTGGCGTCGAAGAACTTCATCGCCAGGTCGAAGGACGGGAGGAGGTCGAAATTCTCGCAGCCGGAGGGTAACCCGGCCTCGGCGCACGGGAAGTCGAGGAGGTGGACTTGGACGGGCAGCCCGGATTCCTGTGCTCGGGAGACGACGGGGCCGACCCGGGCAGCGTTGTGGGGCGTCAGGAGAACGGTTACCCTGACGCCCCGGTGAGACAAGAGCTTGGCTATGTCTATCATGGGGATCATGTGGCCCTGAGCCATGAATGGGAACAGGATGAAATGGAGCTGCTGATATGTGAGGACTGCCATTGTTTCTTGTAGGATAGATAGATAGGCTTGAAAATTTGATGATGCTTTTGCATGTTTTCAAAGCTTCCATTTTATACTTACTCCCTCCCAGAAAGAATGCCACGGTTACTATTCTGGCATCTCGATAACTATTGTTTGTTTACTCTTTTTGATTGACCATTTGATAAAATAAAATATTCTTGTCACATCTTGTTTTGTAGAACTTTTCATATACTTTTGTATAGTGTAATTTTTTATTTTTTATTACTCTACCAATTTGAAAAATATAATGATTTTAAAAGAGATGATATTTTGCACGTCGTTCGAAATGTTGCAAATAATTTGGGACGTAAGAAGTAGGG